AGTCGGAAAACTTGTCACAAGCCCATGTCACGGCCAGGGCCTCTTTCTCAATAACTGCGTACCTTTTCTCAGTTTCTGAGAGGGATCTAGATGCATAGTACACCGGCTTCCTAGTACCGTCCTCTTGGATCTGTAGAAGAATAGCCCCAAGTCCAAAGTTAGAGGCATCGCTTGAGATGACTGTCGGGCGACTTGGGTCGTAGCGGGCAAGGTTTGTTGTAGATATCAGTTCATTCTCGATTCCTTCAAATGACTGCTGTTGGGCTTTATCCAATTTCCACACGCTCTCTTTCCTTAGGAGTTGTCGTAGTGGTTCGTTGAGATTGGCCAGGTTTGGTATAAACTTTGCCATTTGATTGACGATTCCCATGAAGCGTTGGAGGTCGTTGACTTTCTGTGGTACTGGGAAATTGCGTATAGCTTCAGTTTTGGCCGGGTCTGGACGGATGCCTTGTTCGTCGATAATATGTCCCAGGAATTTTACAGAACGCTTAGTAAAACTCACATTTCTCGTTGAGCGTCACTCCGGCTTCCTGTAGCCGCTTAAGGACAGTTCTCAGTCGTTCATCATGCTCCACTTGTGTTGTCGCGTGTACGAGGGTGTCATCAATATGGCATACGACTCCCTCGAGGTCCCCCAGGATACTAGTCATGGTGCGCTGGAAGACTTCCGGTGCTGAGGTGATCGTAAAGGGAAGACGATTAAAACAGGAACGGCCGTATGGCGTGATGAAGGTTGTAAGTAGGCGGGACTCCCCGTCAAGAGGGAGTTGCCAAAACCCGCTGTTAGCGTCGAGTTTGCTAAAGACTCTACTTTTACTCAGCTTTGCTAGGCTTTCATCTCCAGAATACATTGGATGGACCTCCCTTTTAACACTTTTGTTGAGTTGGACTAGGTTCACGCAGATGCGAACTTTTCCGTTTGGCTTGAGGACTGGGACTATTCCCGGAGCACCATTTGGTCGGCTCTGTTCTTCGTCGATATTTAGGGTTTAAGAATATCATCTGCACATTCACCCATAGCGTAGAGTAGGGTTCCGACTTGCTCATGTTTGGTTTATGTTTGAGGCCAGATGCAATCCGATATCTTTCGAAAAGACGAAACCATTTCGAGCAAAGTTCAGCTTGTTGTGGTGAATTTGCTCCGCTGAATTTTTCCGGAGGAGGAAGATTATTCGCCGTTTGAGCTTGAAGTGGAATTAGTCTAGGACTAGAATCTTCTGTATCAGGCATTATGTACGGCTAACACCGCTGCCACCATGTAATATTATAGCAAGAAGCAGGACGAGACAAATATAAATGTCAAC